TTAGTTTTCTGTTACTTATATCAGATATTTCAAGTTCCCATATCTTAATTTTTCCACAAATATACACTTGACCTCTAGTGGTTCTCATGCTTATAATATTTTAATAATATAAAATAAAAAAAAATATTGCTTGCAGTGAAATACAATATGTTTATTTGTCAGAAGATATCTGATTAATATATCCATTTATTTAAAAGTCATTTCCAAATTTTAGTTTTAAATCACTAATTGTTAAGACAACCAAAAAATAGAGAACTGTACGAAAATAGTACATCTGTATTAGTTTCCTTGGACTTTTGTAACAAACTAGTACAAACTGGGTGACTTAAAATAACAAAAATTCTGGAGCGTCAGAAATCAAAGTATCCGCAGAGATTCTCTCTCTCTCCTCTCTCAATCTCTGTCTGAATCTCTCTGAAACCTTTAAGGGAGAAGCCTTTCTCTCTTTGGTGTTCTTTTAACATCAGTAGTATTTTTTGTTAGAGACTGTCCTGTGCCATAGCTTTCTGTGCTCGGTTCCCTTCACCTTTCTAATATTCAGTGAAATATCTCACTAAATACATCTAGGCCATGGAGTCTAATTTTTATTTTTTTTATCTTATCTTATTTTATTTATACAAGAGCTGGGGTACAGGCCAGAGGTGCAGGAGGGTGAGAAAATTCACCAAAGACAAAGTGGGGAGCAGGGCAGGCAGTGGGACCGAAAGCACTGCTGAGGGGAGCAGCAGGCGAGACAGGCGAGGCCTACCACACCATGTGGGTCTATCCTGGCCAGCCGGGATTCGAACCCGTGCTGCAGAGGCTGTGGACAGCTCCATAGTGCTGCACTCAACCCAGTGTGCCACCAGGAAGACCCAAGAGTCCAATTTTTAGTTATTATTTTTTGTGGTATGTCTGTGTATATATATGTATATATGCGTATATATGTCTGTGTATGTGTGTATATATATACGTATACATGCTATAATTACAAACATAGTTGATGTTTCATGGTAAATTATACTTAGGCCAGCCTCCTACTCATGTACTTTATTGCAATTTCCTAATGAAGGAATATCCTTTTATATATCCCTTTTCCTAAACCTTTTCCTACAAACAAAATATACCTTTTCCTACAAATTTTCAACACCTGCAATAGGTTTATTGTCAAAACACAGCAGTTGTTTGACTCTGATTTGCAGGTTGGGATAAATTTATCAATAAGTTTCAATCACCTGTTATTTTCTGTTATTTTCATTCCCCTATAGCTGATAACCTCCAGGTGCAAGAAGATCTTGGGGTAAGCCTGTTTCTCCTACTGTCTACTCATCTAGACATCTGGGTATTCTGTGTGGTTGCAGAAGATCTTCACTATATCTTTTTTTTAAAGATTTATTTATGTATTTAAGAACTGGGGTGTAGCCAGAGATGTAGGGGGGTGGTGAGAGGATTTACCAGAGACAGAGTGGGGAGTAGAACAGGCGAGTGACTGAAATACACTGCTGAGGAGAGCAGCGGGTAAGACAGGAGAGGTCTGCTGCCATGTGGCTTAACTCCTGGCTGGGGATGGAACTCAGGCAGCAGTGGCTGGCGATAGCTTGATAGCACCGTGCCTTTCTTTAACCCTTGCACCATCAGGAAGGCCCCTTTTCATTAAGTCTTAAGTCTGTCTTCTGGTATATCCTCATATGGGAAGAGATCAGCTCTACATCCAAGTTCTTCTGTGAAGGGTTTTGGTAGCATCCAGCAATAGCTAGCTTTACAATGGCCTCCGGTTTCTGCTGGTCAAATTGAGCAGCTGTTACTTGTTTAAATCCACCTGGTAGCCCGAGTGTGAGGTTTCTATTTACTCTTCCATTTGTTTTCAGAAAATGCCATGTATTTTGTGTTCATTGTGACAACATAATCTCCACAGTCATTTGGGTCACTTTAGAGGAATTCACACAGCTTCCCACCAGCAGGACTGTCTTCTTTTCCAGGCTCCAAAGCCAGTCTCCTATAGCCGATTTTAATACTTTTAGAAGCAGCAGCAACTTGAGTAAATGATAGCTTTAAGAGCAACTAAAAGAACCCTTTATTTTTCTAATTAAAACATCTGCCTTATTGATTCACAATAGTGCTTAAAATGATCGTTTTTTCCTTTATTTTTATTTTTTAAATTATCCAGCTTTGGAGGACTAGTAAACATTTTCTGAATAGGCTACATCTTAACATCTTTCATACTTATCAATGCCACCATAAAGGGATTAGTTTAACTTCCACCATCTTATCACCTGGTAGTGATTTGAATACAATGGACATAGGACAGAAAATCAGAGAAGGGGTATAGGGAAGATTGATTGTTTTGAGTGAGGATGTTTAGTGCCCTGCAATGGTTGATTTTGATCATTTCATCCAATTTTATACTTAGGCTTTTTTTTCCTTTTTTCGTAGAGGAACCTCTTTAAACTGACATAACTAAAAATCTTCTTTTACAAGTGTATGTGGACACTTCCGAAGTAGCTTAGTTTGAGTCATTTTGCTGTTTCATCCCCCTCATCTGTCTATACAGAAGGGCTGGTGACCCTTTGAGGGGCTCTGAGACCTTGAGCTTGATAGGTATGTTCCCACCTGTAGGGTAAAGAAAATATCAGGCTTTTCTGCCCTTCCGCCATCAGGATAGATGATGGATCCTTGTCCTGAATGCATGCCTGATGGCGGGCACCTGGAATAGGGTGTGGGCATAGCTAGATGGGATTCAGCTGAGCTAAGACTGTGCTTTTAAGGGCGGCGTCATGGGGACGCCAACAGCAGCAGCAGCAACAGCAGTAGAAGCCGAAGCAGAAGCCGAATGAGAAGCTGAGAAGCAGCAGAACCAACGCTAGAGAGCCCAGATAGCCATGTGCCTGGTGAACCCCAATAAAAGACCTGCAAAACCACTGAGGACTCTGACTCCTCCTTTACCCGGTCTACATGGGATCAGAAAACCTGCTCTGTGCCTAGTCCTGCCTCTATACCACCAAAAGTGGGATCTAAAACTGTGTTGGACTATAAACCAGAGGCACACTATGGGGGTAGGAGTGGGGAAAGGAGGGATTGGGGTCAAAATAAGGGGAGTGCAATTGTATGGGGAATATATAAATTAAAAAAATATATATAAAAATAAAAAATAAATAAAAGTGTGTTGGGGGACATTTAGCTGGAGCATACCTCCTGTAAGGGCAGGATAGGACACTGAGTAGGTTATGATCCGAGCAGATGGGGTAAGGAGAAGAGTCCTGGAGGCCTCAGTGGCTTTTCAGGCTTTTATTTGAATTTACCAGGTACATGGCAGGCAGGAGTGCCGGAGGGCCAGGAGGCTGGCAGGCCTTTCAGCCCCCAGCAAGTCTTCACTCTTTCTGGGCTCTCGGACCTTCTCTCATGGCCTCTGCTTCTCTGCTGTTTCGTTCTTTAGTTCTCTTTGCTTCTGCTGGTGTCCCTGGGACGCCACCCTTAAAAGTCCAGTCTCAGCCCAGGTGAATCCCATCTACCTATGCCCACACCCTATTCCAGGTGCCTGCCATCAGGCATGCATTCAGGACCACAGCGATCCATCATCAATCCTAATGGCAGGAGGGCAGAAAAGCCGGATGCTTTTTCACTTACCCTATACCTACTATATGAAGGAACTCTGCAGAATAAAGGGCTTGAGAAAATTACCCTCCCATCATGCACCTGTCAAAAAAAAAAAAAAAAAAAAACGGGCCTCCCTGGTGGCACAAGGGTTTAAGCACTTCACTATGAAGCAATCTGCAGCAAGAGTTCTATCCCCAGCCAGCCAGGGAGCAACCCACATGGCGAAGCAGACCTCTCCTGTCTCGCCTGCTGCTCCCCTCAGCAGTGTATTTCGGTAGATCTACCTGTTCTGTTCCACACTCTGTCTCTGGTGAATCCTCTAAGCCCCCTGCATCTCTGGCCTGTACCCCAGCTCTTGTATGCATAAATAAATAAATCTTTAAAAAAAATTCTTAAAACTATGCATACATACATTTGACAAGAGAGTCAGCATTTGGGCCCCTGCACCCAGAGGGCATCAGTGTCTTAGATTGTAAAAGCATCCATTAAAAAAAAGCATCCATTAGTTTTTTTCTAATGCCTTTACTTATTAAAAAAAAAAAACACACCCAATAGTTAAAAACAGAAGAGGAGAGGACTTAAAGAGCAGAGAGAAAACAATACAACCATTTAATATTGCTACATCACTGAGAACAGACTGTCAAGAAAGTAAACAAGGAGTAAAAGTATTTTAAATCTACATGGAAGCACCACCGGAGAGCCTAGCTGAGGGCATACCTGAGTGCTACCACCAGTCTTAGAGTTTTGAGCACACTCATCTCATCCATTCATCTATTCATTCAATCAGGATTTGCTGAGATGCTACAATGGTTACCATAACCTTGATGTGTTCTGAGAAAAATGGTCCTCAAGACCATATGTAGGATAAACAAAATTATCAGCTTTTTCATGTCTTCCTGTCATGAGCATGTCTGATCAGGGCCTGAGGTCTTGCCCTGTAATTATGGACACTTGGGCCCAGGAAGCACTGGACATGCGTTGTAGGGTAAGGTAAGTATCAGGCTTTTCTGCCCTCCTGCCATCAGAATAAATGAAGGAAACCTGTGGTCCTGAATGCATGCCTGATGGCGGGCACCTGGAATAGGGTGTGGGCATAGGTAGATGGGATTCACCTGGGCTGAGACTGGGCTTTTAAGGGCGGTGTCAGGGGACACCAGCAGAAGCAGAGAAGCAGAACCACCAGAGAATGCTAGAGAGCCCAGAAAGAGTGAAGACTTGCTGGGGGCTGGGATCCCTGCCAGCCTCGCAGCCCCTCAGCCCCCCCCAGTACCCCTGCCTGCTGTGTACCTGGTAAATCCTAATAAAAGCCTGCAAAATCCACCAAGGGCTCAGGACTCTCTCCTCCTTTACCCCATCTGCATAGAATCCTAGAAATCCTGCTCCGTGTCTTCCTGCCCCTTACCTTTGGCGTAAGTCGGCAAGATGATTCATGCAGACGGGTATGGAGCACTCCAAAGACTCAGGAGGGACTGAAGAGTAGCAGACTGAGCCTGTGACAGCACTGGAGGTGCCAGGGCAGCACAGGGGGTGGACAAGATCCAGGAGCTACAGGATGAGACCTCGCCTGGAGGAGGAGACAGCCAAGAGGACCAGCCAATGACCCCCAAGGCAGCAAGAATCATTGGGGAAGAAAGGACCATTCTTCAGAGCTCGCCAGTGTGGACAAAGGGAAAAGCCGATGAACTTGGACTAATGGACTAACAATCCTGCCAGAAGGCAGAGGACCTTGGCGAGTTTAATATGTTTTGGGGACCCTGGGGGTGGATGTTATCATTTAAAATCAAGGCATGGCCAGTGGGCCTTGGTCTAAGAGCCCACAGTTGGCTGAGGGAGGAAGTCCTCACCAAGTTCTCTGCAGCCAGGCAGAGAAAAAGCCAACTGAGAAAGCAAAAGCTGGTACTGAGATTGAGAAGCTCTGAGTGGCTGTTAAGCACTAGGTAAGCTAAAGAAGGCCAGTGAGACTCTTAAAATCAGCTGTGGGTGATGCCCTGCTCATAGTTGAGTGAGGGTGAGGAGCTGAGGAACCGGTCCTTGGGGGACAGGTGGGGAACGTGGCTTGTAGTGGAGCCCAAGCCTAAGAAGGGACCCAAGAGAGGCCTCATGTGGAGCGTGCATCCACAGATCCCCGACCCTTGTGCTTGTGCAATGGGTTGGCCTGAGTGCAGGGGTCTGCGTGTTGAATTGGTGGCTATGAAAGCCCAGTGTTGGAGTGACCGCAGACAGAAACACTGAGGGTTGGGCGATTACCCCCAAAGAGTACAGAATTGCCAATCCAGGAGTGCGTGCATCCTGGGGGTGGATGTAGTGTGCAGCTTGTGGCTTACACTACAGCTGGAGAAGGCCAGGAAGCCTGATGGCTCCTAGTGAGTTACAGTGATACAGTTAACAAGTTTGTCTTTCCCCCATTTTTTGCAATTCCCCTTATCTAGCATTAACAGGATTGATGACTTGTCTTTCCCATTTGTTGCAGCTTCCCCTCCCCTTGGGAAGAAAAAAAAAAAAAAAGCTGGCACCCACTGGTTTCCCTGTAGACCCTTCCCCCTCGCCCTAAGGAAAACAAGTTGGTGATCACCCGTCTCTGTGCCTTGACACCTTCCCCTTCCCTTAAGATGAATGAGCTGACACCCATCCATCGACCTGTTGAGCTGGCGCCCACTTGTCTCTGTGCAGACCCCTTCCCCCCTCCCTTCGCGGATGCCTACCCATCTCCCCCTGTATAAATACCCCTGCCCACTGCCAAAGAGGAGGACGGTGGTTTTTCGGACATGAGTCTGCCTCCCTCCTCATTTGTCGACAAATAAAACGGCTTTCCTTTTCCTCAAACTCAGTTTCCTTTTATTGGCTGAGGGAAACTGAGGCCGGCGTTCGGTAACAACAGCAGATGCTGTGAGTGGGTCCCCTCCCTTGTATGAGCAGTGCCTTTGGCAGCAGATTTGGTGGTTCATGTGCTGGTGCCAGTAATTGTCTTTTGCCACTATGTTGGTGCCCTGCCTGGACTAATTTGTTCTGTTGTATTTTGTTATATTGTGATGTATTTCATTTGCTTTTGTGGGCCATGGCTGCAGTGTTCTATTGCCAAGAGAAACATATATGACTTGTATAGACTGGCAGAAAACCCTGAAGGGGTGGATTTTAGGGTAAGGAAAAATGTCAGGCTTTTCTGCCCTCCCGCCATCAGGATAGGTGATGGATCCTTGTGGTCCTGAATGCATGCCTGATGGCGGGTACCTGAAATAGGGCGTGGGCATAGGTAGATGGGATTCACCTCGGCTAAGACTGGGCTTTTAAGGGCGGCGTCATGAGGACGCCAGCAGAAGAAGAAGCAGAAGCAGAACCACGAGATAAGCAGAGAGAATATGAGAGAAGGCCGAAGAGCCCGGAAAGAATGAAGACTTGCTGGAGACCGGGAGGCCTGCCAGCCTCCTGGCCCCCCAGCACCCCTGCCTGCCGTGTACCTGGTAATTCCAATGAAAGCCTGCAAAAGCCACTGAGGGCTCTTGGACTCCCTCCTCCTTTACCCTGTCTGCTGGATCAGAAAACCTGCTCTGTGGTCTTCCTGCCATTACATGCGTATATGTAAATGGGGGCACGTGTGGCCAGGGTCTATAAGGGTGTCTTCACTCTGAGGGCTGGATGACAGAGGGAGGAGACAGCCAGAGGAATTAATTCTGAGAGAGAAAGCTGATCTGTCCTGATTCAGCAGCAAAGGCCTGTAAAATATCCTAGGCTCCAAAATTATCTTTTCATCTGCGAGAATTGATGATGAACCTACCAGGTCTGGGAAGATTGCAAAACACCATATAAAAAAGCAATCTGGATGGCCTCCCCGGTGGTGCAAGGGTTTGAGTGCAGCACTGTGAAGCTATTTGCAGCTACTGCAGCATAAGTTCGGTCCCCGGTCAGGGAGGTGACCTGTGACCCACATGGTGAAGGTGCAGCAGACTTCTCCTGTCTCAGCAGTGTATTTCCCCTGCTCTTTCCCCTCAGCAGTGTATTTCAGTCAATCCATCAGTTCTGCTCCCCACTCTCTCTCGTGAATCCTTTCACGTACCCCCCTAACACCTCTGACCTGTACCCCAGTTCTTTATGCATGAATAAATCTTAAAAAATAAAATAAAAAAGCAATCTGAAGATATCACCAAGCTGGCAATAGAAGAGTTTCCTTGCTTTCCTTCCCAAATGAATAAATAGCAATTAATTGGAAATCACACCAAGGGAGTCCTGAGCCACAGGCTGAGATTAAATCACTCCTTGTACCTCAGAGACCAATACAGGCTGCACCTGAGGGAATAGAGTGGCTATTCATGCTGCAGTGGGCTGAAGGGCGGTGGAAACACCTGGAGGCTGTGGTCAGGGATGGAGGACTCAGAAGTGGGGTGGCTGTCCTCATTAGGGATTCTAGGGAGGAAAGGGTGTGGAAGTGCATGCCCTTGATTTGGTGACGCCCACGTGGAGGACAGAACCTCTACCCAGACTGGCAGGGTGGCTCAGGGTTGAGTTCTGATGACCTAGAAGGCCTCCAGTGGCTCCCACCCAAGGTGGCATGAGCTCTGCTCCAATACTGGCCTCATTTGCTTTCAAATTCCAGCTTTGAAGTTTTAAAGCTGTAACTTAACCACCATTCAGTCCCCTCCGTTGTAAATTGACAATCATAACTCTCGTTCTCTGATCTGCTCCAGAGTTCTTGCAAGGATCAAAAGGGATAACATGCGAAAGTGCTTTGCAAAGTGTAAAATGCTAGTTAAATGTGGGTATTATTATTGCTCAGGAAGAACACTTAGCTCATTGCTTAGTAATGGTGAGGCAAACAGTGTCACTAAATAAGACAATATAATGGTCTTAAGAGGCTCTAATTCAGTTTCTCCTTTTTATTCAAGCACACAATTGCATTCTAACACTTCACAGACAGGCTGAAATGGGCCCTGTGGAGGCAGATAAGGAAAATTAGAACAAGGAGCTATTTGCTCCCTCGTTTTAATAACTGAGTCAAGGAGCAGGCACTTTGATACAGGAAAGAAGGAACACTCTCTTACTCAGTCCTCGGTGAGAAAATAACTCTATTACCAAGCAGGCCCTCTAGAATCAAGGTCACAGGCACTGCTCACGGAGACTGCTCCCAGCACAGGAAGGAGAAGACGCCATCCGCATCAATACAGTGTGCTCAATATGTAAAATCAGACTAGTCACAACCATTCACGAGACAGTCATTTTCACAGATCTTTTTTTCCCTTTTTAAATAATTGCATACTGAAGTGGTGGATCATGGGTGATGGAAGCTAAGAGTAAAATTTAGGATGGAGGTATCAAAAGACCAGAAAATGGAGGTGGGGGTAGAAATGATCAACACAGTCACTCAACCAGCTATAGAAATGAAAAACCCTTAGGCTCCAGCTGCTATACTAAGTCTCAGACTGCTATAGAAAGTATCTGGAGGCGCAGACCAGAGGTGGGGATATGGAGATGGAGGGCCATTGTCAAGAATTGCTGGTGCTTACAAATGAACTAGTCACTTGGCCAGAAGTAATTAATTTAAAAGCAGACAACAATTCCACAAAGGAACAAACTCCTCCCAAAAAGAACAGTCTATCAATACCGTTTCTGCCCTGGCAAGATACAGCTCTTCTGCCCGCCTGCTGCTATGCAGTGCCTCTTAACAAACCTGTCCTTTTCGGAAGAAAAGAGACAGCTCTTTTCTGCCCACTTGTGTCTGTGCAAGTATCCTCTTTTTCCTTTCCTTTTTTAATATATCTTTTTAAAAAAAGATTTATTTATTTATGCATATGAGAACGGGGTGCAGGCCAAAGGTGCAGGGGGTGAGTGGATCAACCAGAAACAGAGTGGGACACAAAACAGGCAGATTGACTGAAATACACTGCTGAGAGGAGAAGCAGGCGAGCCAGGAGAGGTCTGCAGCACCATGTGGGTTGCTCTCTAGCTGGGGATAGAACTTGTGCTGCAGTGGCTGTGGTCAGCTTCATAGTGATACCGGAATTGTCAGGTCTAATCTCCCAGCCAGGAACGGATTCCAGGCTGCAGGGCAGCGCTAAGCCCCAGCCGCTAGACCCCCCCACGGGTTAGTGTCTCAGGAAGTCATAGCAGGAACTTCGCAGACGCTCAGGCAAGCAAGCGAGCAAAGGCAGGTTTGTTTAGAAGAAAAAGTCTATTGAGGAGAAAAAGAACAGAAATAAAGTGGGACTCCCAGGCCAGGGAACAGCCCTGGGAGGGGAAAGGAAGCCAAAGTGAAGTCCTGTCTCAGGGAATATATACTTTCTTTCCCTGATTATTCTAAAGCTCTACCAGTCTCTTTGTGATTGGTCAGTTTTTGGCTGTCTCACTTAATTTGCTACTGAGTGGGAGATCTTCACATTCCTTATCTAACAGGTCTGTCTTTCCCCATTTGTTATATCTTTATCTTTATGGTCTAGCCCTCCCGATGAGCATCTTTACACTTTATCTTATCATCTGAAGAAAACCAGGACCATCCTTAACAAGATTATCTGTAGTGCTAGAATGTTTGTTTTTCCCAGTGGAATTGGTTTCATTTCCTTGCTCATCTTTATCTCT